AACCTGACTGGAACTGGAACTTGGCTCTTCAATTTCCAATTCTGAGCCATTATCTGTTACACCAGCCACACATCCAAGTAGTCACCCATCTAGGTACTGACCACGCTTAATATTGCTTAACTTCAGTGATTATAGTAAGACCTGGTGTTTCAAAGTGATATGACCATAAGACATAATTGCAATATGGGAAAGGACATAACAAATAATAAAAATTACCATAGCTGCTATTAAAAAAGTGTGTATATATTTTGATAGTGCACCTTCTGTGTATGCATTTGTATATACACAATTAATATCAGTAAAAACTGTCTTTTTCTATAATCCATCCATCCCTCAATTAATGACTTTGCTGCATAACAACTGCTGGACTTATGACCAGATATAAAATGATAAAAAATAAATCCAACCAGTCAGTATTGTATGTTGTACAAAAACATTGAATGTGATTGTTTTCTTTTCATTCAAAATGAATCAAAAAAATGAAAAAGTAAATAAAAATTTACTTGTACTGTATTTACAGTATGCAAAACAAAGAAATGCATAAAATATATATTCTTGAATTTGTTTATTACATTTACTGTTCTGTACAATACTATAGTGTATAAAAAAAATGGTGCAAAACTGACATTAAAGCTATCTGAGGCTGGTTGACACAAACCCATTACACATGTAGTATATCTGAAATAGTGTTTAGGTTCAACTTCTCACTTAGAGACTAGGTTGTTGGAATGGAACCTGGTTGTTAAGTGAGGAGTAGCTGCATTTGTAAAACTATGTAAATTGTGTGCGTGTGAATGTGGGTAAATTCAGTTGTGCACATGTCCACACATAACCGTACTGTTTAAACTTCAACTCTATTATTTATTGCCTCGCCCTTGACAAACATAAAAATAAAAAAAAATAGACCAAGTGACAAGCTAATAAGTATAAAATATGCAATCAACTCAACTAACAAAAATTTATTTTCAGTTGGATTACACTTTTATAGAGGGTTATAAATATCAAGTAAATTTTAAATAAAAAAAAAAAATTGACCAGCAAACTTTTTACATTACTCTCTCTGTCACATAAAAATTGTTACATTAGTGGATAAAATCTGTATGAGAATATAATTACTGTTATGGGACAAAGGCAATATTTCTTTTTAATAATCTTAAAATTATTGTTGCCTTGTTAGTGTAGCTTAGAATATGCCAAATGCGTCCCTTGTAAAAAGTGTGATGTTGGATGCTTGCTGTCTCAGTTATAAGCCCTACCAATATCTAAATAGTGAAACTAGTGCACACTGAACCTGTGTGAACCTATCTATTAAGAATTTTATTTAATTTTTTTTTCCTGTGTTCGACCAAGTGTTTTTTTTCTGGACACAGAGTGTGTAGAAACTGTCCAAATGTTCTGTAACTCCAAGTGTTTTCGACTATACTTTTAGCTATTATCAAGGATTATTTTATTTTTGCTTTTTAATTTGGGTGTATGGGTTGTGTGTATGTTTCTAGAGTTATAGGGATGCTTTATTTTCTGAACACAGCACATTTTGGCCGTGTTCATAGTTAATATTATTGAGTGTTGGCTTTTTCTTTTTTAAAGTTAGCTGTTTTAAATTTTTTATAGTAGATAATTAATTTGATTGTTTTATTCAGGTCAGTTGGGGTAGTGTATTTCCTTATGATATTTCTAAGTGAAGATTCATCTTGTTTGTAGTTGACGTGCATTTGGCTTTTGTAGAAAATATTGTTGACTTTTTCGCTGTCATTGTTATTTACTTTGGGAAGAAATAGTTTAATTTGGTGGTCTATGAGGTGGTTAGGGAAGTCATTGTTAACTAGTGTCTGTTTTGCATTGTTGAGTTCTTTAAGGAAGAGTAGGTGAGAGGATGAATTCTGGTATGCTTTTTTAGAAAGTTTTTTTATCACTGCTATTTTGTATCTGAGTGGGCATTCACTTTTAAAGTTAAAGAGTTTCTGCTAGTGGGTTTTTATACAATGAGGTAGTAAAAGTGTTGTTATTGTATTTTACAAGAATGTCTAAGAATAGGAGTTTATTTTTTTTACTATGAATTTAGTCAAAAAAATAAGCTTCCATCCTTAGACAAAACATAGACAAACATATTCCATCCTTAGACAAAACTTAGATAAACATATGTTAGATTCTTTAAGAATGGATTTAATAAAGGTTGGTTATATATATATATATGTATATATATATATATAAAATACCATTTGATATCTGAAAAGTTAATTATATTAGCAATACTAAAAGTAAGATATCCCTAGACATGGTCAGTGTAACAAGAACAGTTTACTCCCTGTAGATCAAATAAAGAGTTCACTTCAAAATTCCCTGTAGGTTACCCAGATTCCACTGGGCCAAGTGTCATCCTTGAGGACATCAGTGTATGAATTTTTTGGGACTTATAAACCTAATATCTCAGTAACCATTTTTTTACTAGAGCTCATATTAAAATTTAGTGTTGTTATTGTTCTTCTCTAGCACTCCATATTACTGGTTCCCATATTGTATTCATTTCTATGCTTGGCCAGCTTAGGAGATTTTTGTGGCCTAGCATATGTGCTGATTCCTTAAGTTTTCATATTTTCCAGTGATGTTCTCTGTCTATTATTTCAACCTCATCCCACAGGGGGCAGTGATCTCCTTTTCCCTCCATATGTGGTCAGCTATGCCTGATTTTTCTATTTCCCCTTGTGTTATGGCTTTATGATGTTCCTGCAGTCTTATCTTAAGGGGGGGGCTGTTTCTCTTTATATTTCTTACCACAGCTGCATGGGATGGTGTACACACAGTCCTTAATCATGTTCTCCTCTATGGGAGGTCTTACTTGGAAGAGGTGTCTGCGAAGTGTTGAACCACTTTTGAAGGTTGTCCTGATGTTATATGGACCACAGATCTTTTGTATTTTTTCTGATAATCCCTTCACATAGGGTAGGCAGACTGAAGCTGTTTTCTGAGTGTTGTTATCCTCTTGTACCCTTCTATCCCAGTTTGTTGGAGCTGCTGTCATGTACCCAGGGTAGTTGTTATGTTGTAGGGTACTGCTTATACTGACCATTTCTTGTTCATATATCTCTGGGTCACCACTTATGACTTTTGCTTGATGTTGTAAGCAGTGGATGATCCTTTCTTTACACTGTATGGGTGGTGGGAGTTGAAGTTGAGGTATTGTCTGGTGAATGTTGGCTTGTGGTATATGGATGTCTTGAACCCATGCTCTGTTTGAGATATTAGTACATCCAGGAATGCTAGTTTGTTGTTGTTTTCTCTCTCCATTGTGAACTGTATCAATGATCTTATTGAGTTCACATGGTCCAGTAGTAGCTGGACCTCTTCCTGGTGTGGCCAGAGTATGAAGGTGTCATCTATGTATCTCAGCCATAGAGTTGGCTTTAGTGATGTGGATTCTAATGTGATTTCTTCAAATTATTCATATATATTGTTGCCATTGCTGGTGATAATGGCAAGCCCATTGCTAAACCTTCATCTTGTCGATATATGTCTGATCCCATTCCAAAGTGTGTTGTTTGTGTACAGAAAGTCAGCATCTCCATCAGGTTATCTATTGGTATACTGGTCCATTCTCCTAGGGATGAGTCTGAGGCCAGTCTGTCCCTGACTACTGATAGTGCCTCCTCTGTGGGGACCTTGGTGAACAAACTCACCATGTCCAGGCTCACCATCTGGTTGGATTGGATGGGAGCATCTTTGATTATTTCCACAAAGTGGGCAGAGTTTTGGACATATGATGGTGACTTTCCTATTAATGGGTCAATTATATCCACAAGGAAGCAACTCAGAGGGTGGCACACAGAGCCTTGGCAGCTAACAATTGGCCTGAGTGGAATACCATCTTTGTGGATCTTGGGGAGACTGTATATATGAGGTACCTTGTTGTAACATTGTGACAACTGAATGTATGTCCTAGGTGGGAAGTGGTCTTTGTTCTTGATTAGGATCTGTGACAATTTTTGCTTTGTTTTTATTGTTGGATCTTTTTTTACTTTACTATAACTACAATTCCTAATGTGATCTTCCAGTTTTTCTGTATATTCTGTTTTGTCCATCACTACAATCGTATTGCCTTTGTCAGCTGGTAGTATGATGTTGTCATTCCTCTGTAGGATATTGATTACCAGCCTCTTCAGTTTTGTGATGTTTGATTTTCATCTTTTGGCTTTTCTCCAGTATCTGTCTTTTTCCATCTTAGTTCATCCGCCTGAGCCTGAGAAATGTTCAATGCTATTTCCTTGATTTGGGCAATGATGTCCAAGTATGGTATCTGCCTGATGGTTGTTGCAAAGTTGAGACCCTTGTTCAGTACTGACTCCTCAGAGGTACTCAGCTGGTGTTGACTGATGTTGATTACTGCCTTCAGTGGGTGGAGGTGATGGACCGTGTGTGTCACCTGATTTTTCAATCTGTTCAATTTTTCTACTTGACAGGCCTTGACAGCATCTAATTCATGTCTGAAGGATTTATCCAGATCATGTTGAATCCTCTTTTGATCTTCTTCATTGGTAATTCTGTTGAAGGAGGCCTGATGAAGGTCAAAATGTTGTGATAACAACAAAGATGAGGACAATGATCCAAATGTAAATAGTGTAAAAAATTGAATTATATTAATTTAAATATAATTGATGTCCCGTATGGATAATTTTGTGCCTCATTAACATCAGATAACAACTCACATAATTCAACCTAACCAAATAAATTACAAAGCTCATTGTGTCTAAGAAGTGCTTTAAGGTGTAAGTTTATTTAGTAGATAAAGATGGGTTACTATCAATACAGCTAATTTGCTTGCAATGCTTATTTTATTTCAAGTGATTCTTGGAAAAGAGAATTTTTTTTGTTTTAGATTTATTTAAATAATGATATAATTTATGAGATTTGGTTACAAAAACGGGGATGAATGCCTTTAAATAAATGAATTGAGTATATTAAACCAGGTAAGGAAAGATTAGTAGAAAATAGAAGACTTGTCATACCTTTGAGTCATATTCAAGAAGAATATCCTCGTCATTGACCTTTATGGATTTACATTTGACCAGAATGTCTTCAGGAATATCCACAAATTCCTGTGTCTTCCAGGAGATTCGCTTTGGAGGTATTTTTGCAACAAACTGTGAATCAGAATGTGAAGAAACAATTGTAGAAAGTAAATAAATAGCAAGTATCAGAATAGAGCCAACGCTAAACACAGCTACTTTGTTCACTCGAACAACATTTCCTATCATCATCTTGAGTTTCTTGTACAAGTTTGAAAACCTCCAAGCATCTGAAATATCAAAAAAAAAAAAATAAATAAATAAAAATAAGAGCATGAAATTGAATGACAAAAATAATAATAAAAGTAATGAAGGACAAGACATTTAAAATGATATTAGAATTTCCATCTCATAAACATCTAAATATATGAACATGTTCTCTAACACTATATAATTTATACTTATGTAATATGAATTCATTCAAATAAGTACTATTAAAATTAATTGTCAGTTTAAATTTTTCATTATATTTTTCAGAATGTGTATAGTTAACACACATCCAAATTAAATTTAAGGATTTGATTGATCTATTTAATGGCATATCAACTCCTTATGGGTCATTTAATGCCGAAATTTAATTTTCTTGGAAGCTTTAAAGTAATAAAAATATGATATATTCTGCTTTCACAATTGAATACATGGTAGATGATACTCAGCTTTTGTGCATATACATGCTTGTGGGGACATAATTACTAGAGGCAGTGATAAGTGTGTTTTATGTTGTAGTTTTGTTGAAGTTATATTTTGGAATACATCTTGATTTCTTTTTAGGAATTATTGAATTAAATATGAAATGTTGATTGTTTGATTTTTTTGTTTTTTTGGCATATCATAACACACCTCTATGGCTTATTTAATACCAAAATCTAAATATTTTGAACACAGTTATATGCCTTCAATTACAGATAAAATGTATTGTTGGTCATTTTTTAAATATGTATATGTTTTAAAAGAAACTATGTATGACAAATTGAAAAAAGTTTTTGTGACACATTTCATTAGTTAGGCTTCATCTTCTTTCAATTTGTTATACATCTTTTCTTTCAAAACTGTTCTTGATATATAAATTTATATATCGTTATGAAGAAATATAGTCTTAAGATGTGCTATATTTATGGGATAAAGTGCTCAATATCAGAGATAGAGTGTGTTGCCTCTAAGTGTTGACTTCTATGTTCACTTTTATATATATATATATATATATATATATATATATATATACAAATGTATCTCAAAAAATTAGATAATTATAAAAGAATTCAATACTTTTTATCATTTATTTCAGAAAATGAAAATTGGATATATTCTAGATTCATTACATGTAACTTAAAATGTTTCAAGCACTTTTTTTTAATATTTTGATATTGATAATTACTACCTACAACTTAATGACACCCTCTTTTTGGAGGGTAAGACACAGGAAATCATTGCTGAAATGGCTGGCTGTTTATATTGCGATATATGAAAGCATATTCATGGAATGTTGACTGGAAGGGAAAAATGTGGTAGGAAAAGTGCACAAGCAAGAGGAATGACTGCAACTTTGAAATGATGATCAAGCAAAGCCAATTCAAGGACTTAGAAGAGCTTTACAAGGGAGGACTGAATCTGGAATTAGTACATAAAGAGACACCACACACAGATGTGTCCAGGAAATGGGCTATATGTGTTGCATTCATAGTATCAAGCCACTCTTGAACCATAGACAACATTAGAAGTTATCTTATCTGGATTAATGCAAAAAAGAAACTAGACCATTACTCAGTGATCCAAAGTCTTCTTCATCAGATTAAACTAAATTGTGCATTTCATTCCAAGAGTCTGGAGGAAGAATGAAGAGTTACATAAACCAAGCTACTTGAAGTCTAGTGTGAAGTTTTTACAGTCAGATGATATCTGCTGGTGTTGGTCCACTGTGTTTTATTCTATCAAGTCTAAAGTCAATGCAACCATCTACCAGAAGATTTTAGAGCACTTCTCTTGACAAGCTTTATGGAGATGCTGATTCCTTTTTTCCATCAGCAATTTCAAAACTACTAGTTACTGAATGATGACTATTATGCTTGATTGGTAAACCAACTCACCTAACCTGAAGCTGCATAGTATTGTCAAGAGGAAGATGAGAGGAACCATGTTCAACAATACAAACAAGTTGAAGGCTGAAACCTGGATTTCCATAACACTTCAGCTGTACCACAAACAGATCATCTCTATGCTGATGCAGTAATTTTTAAAGTAACTCAATCTTTTATGAAGTTTAGCATTTATGTATTATAAATCCAGTTCTTTTTTTTTTTTTTTTTTACATATTCTAATATTATGAGATAGTGCATTTTTGATTGATATGAGCTGAAAGTCATAATCCTAAAAATTATAACAAAAAAAGCTTAAATTTAAAATGGTAGGAATTAATGAAAGACCATTACAGAAATATTAATTGTAAATAAAAATTGAATTTAAAAGGATAGAAATTATTGAAAGATTATTACAATCTTAAGTTTTAGTAAAGATAATAATTTAAAAATAAGAACATTGGTTTGGAGAAAGTTTGAAGGTCATAAAAATTTAGTTATAAATTTAAACTAATGATTTTGAAGCCATGTACAGTGGCTTTTAAGAATGTACATTTATCATAAAGTTTTCATATGTGAATCTCTTGTTTTACATTTACTCTTTTTCATAGATTGTCCCATTTTTGTACATATAAAGGGTGTCACCCAAAATTGGCATCATTTGTAGTCTAATAACATAGCCAATTCTTGCTCTAATGATCTTAAATTTTATGTGTTAAAAACCGTGCGTATGTATCTCAATGAGAATCTACCAGGTAGATGGATCAGGCATGCCAGTGATAATGACAATGTGCTGTTGAAATGGCCACCACATTCACCTGACTTGACAACTTGTGATTTTTTTTGTATGGGGCTATGTGATTGGAGAGGTCTATATCCCCCATCTTCCTACAAGCCTAGAGGAACTTAAGCAGAGAATCCTTGAGGCACTGGAGAATGTTACACAAGACATGCTACAGCATGTTTGGCAGGAGCTGGACTACAGAGTTGGTTTTTATCATGTCACAGGTGGTGTGCTCAATATGCTTTGTGAAATTGGTTATAAAATTTACATTCCTTTGAATATTTTGTTTGAATTTTGATAAATAAATATTTTATTGTTCAACATGAAGCCTATTTAATTTTGTTTGCCTGAAACATGTAGTTACTCAGGTATTCACATTTTAAATGATGTCAGTCTTTTGGGAACACCCTGTATAATACATACTTGATAACCAAATCTTCTGACCACCTTGTTTAACATACAAATTAGCATATTGAGAAACTAAAAATGTTCCTATAACTAAAACCAATTAAAAAAATGAAAGGTACATGCAAAATATGTCCGGTAAGTACCCAGCCATTGAAGAAAAAAAAACTAAATTAAAAAAATTAGTCAACCTAGGGTAATAGTGTCTTAGTTCCCTTCTAAGAGACTTTATGTATTTCTACCAGCAAATCAGTCTGCAAATCCTTTGTCAGGATTCATCATATTATCCTTAATCTCGGTCAAGACTGATTTTAGTTTTGGTAAAACTGAGAAATCCCAGGAAGCCAAATCTGTATTGTTTGGGTTGATGGGAGCAGACAGATCGAGATGATATGAAACCCTGCACAGGGCCATGAAGAATTTATTCACTTGAGAATTGGAAATATAAAGGTCAAACAAAACATAAGTTTATAGAATGGCATCTTATTGATGAATGAGAGACCCTAGAGGATAGTATCTGTTCAATACTGTCACCTGGTTACCAAGTGACATCAAGGTTACACAACTGGTTATCAAAGTATACAATGGCTGATTAAGTTCTGGACAAACATTGTAAACAACCATAAAATTAATTATTTTCCTCTTTTTCAAACCCAATATAGCCTGACCTCTTTAACCCAGCACTCTTGGGACCAGGACACTGCCAGATCACAGAAATCACCCCTAAAAACAAAAACAGTCTTGCCAGCTCATTACACATACACACATATGTGTGTGTGTGTGTATATATATATATATATATATATATAACAAACTGGAAAGTTTTTTTTTTGTGACACATTTCATACATTAGGATTTCATTGGACTGGGTTTTATTGACATTGCCACATCTACACATGCACATGAAACAAGAGATGAAGGTAATTTCAAAATCTTTGAAAGAATATTTTTGAGAAAACATTTTTTTTTCTCAATCTAGTTGAAATCATCTGTATTCTTTTTCTCTCCATCACCTTTGTCCCTGACTATCCAACACTGTGACAATATAAAATCTACCAAGAATGGTGATATATTGTAAGAGCATGGACTCAAATTTATTGTGGCTGAACTAGTGATCAAGGCACTTTCCAGATATTTTCATCTCAGTGAATTATTTTCTCTTTTAATCAAAGTAGCATTCCCTATGTCAAAATTGTGGCCTGATTTTTTACAATGAACATCCAATGCATTTTGTGCATTGTTATTTAAAATGTCCCTTTTGCCTTCATATAGTCTCTTGTTTAAGCTTCTTGAGGTTTCTCCAATGTATTCATTCTGGCAATTTCTACATTTGATAGAATAAATTTCTCCTTCAAGTTTTGGTGGTTGTTTTGTTTTTTATTGATTAAGTCTGATTATTTTAGATGTAGTTGTGACAAATTTTATGTTGAGTTTAGATAAATTCTTTTCAGTTGTAGTTGTGATAGAGTTAGTGGGTAGAATAATAAATATTTTTGATTCGTTAGGTTTGTCAGGAAGGACAGCTCTTCTATTATGGAAAATTTTATGAGCCTTTTGTTTCACACTAAAAATGAAATAGGGTATTCAAGGGTCTTGAATGTATTTTCAATATATTTCTTTTCTTTGTGTAAATATTGAGGGCTGCAAATTCTGAGTGATCTTAAATAGAATCCAATGATCATTACAGATTTTATTTTGGTATTATGATGGGAGTAGACGTTTATTAAGTCGTTTTTATTGGTTGATTTTTAGTGGACAGTAAGTTCTAGGCTATTATCAATTCGGTGTAACATGATGTCTAAGAAAGGTAAAGTATTGTTTTTTCTATTTCATATGTGAATTCTATTGTGTGTTCAGTTTTGTTTAGTTTATCAATAAGATCCAGTAAGTTACCCATGTTATATTTTTCTAAATACTGTTTGTTGATATATAAAATTATACAAAATTATATATATATATATAATATATATATATATATATATATATATATATTGTTGATGTTCTTTTCTCTAATTACTTTAGTAACTCTGCCTATTCAAGCATAGATAAAGATTTATGTCATCTGCACCTCCTGCTCTTTTAGTTGGCATCCTGAATAGGTAAATATGCAGCTATATATAAGAAATGAGCAAGAGTTAATCACCAAAACACACTGCTGTTGGCTGCTACAGAAAGTTGTAAAGAACATGTGGTGTTGTCCTCGTAACTGTTCAACCAATTAATGGTGACTGATTAAAAAGTGCCAGACCACAGTGTCAGATTAAAGAGGTCAGACTGTATAAAGAATTTTGAGAAGCGTAATTTGGAACACATTACATTTTCTTATTGAAACAATTATTATCTATATTTCTGAGATGAGGTATTATGTACATTATTTACATTATTCGGACTATTTTCCTCATCTTTATCGCCATATTTATTACAATGTTTCAGCTGTTGTATGCTCCGGCCTTCTTCAGGTGGTTGGAATGTTGAACTGAACCCTTTATTTCGCTCACTGGGGTAGACTGTTCTGTTCTTCAAGGACACATGGCACAGTGGATAAAGGCATTAGTTAGATCCAGTGATAGGACCCAAAGAGTGGGAGTTCAATACCCGGTTAAGGCAGTGGAGAACTTTCAGAGGGAAATTAACAGGAGATAACTGATAACTGACATCCATCAAACATGGCACGTGGAACTAGAACAGTTTACCCCAATGATCTGAAAGAAAAGGGTTCAAGTCGATGGTATTCAACCAAACCTGAAGCTATTCGGAGCGCATAAAAGTTGAAATAATGTAAATGATGAAACAATTATGGTTTAAGCATTTTTATGTACACATAATTCGAATGACATACATCCAAACAGCAACAACAAAAAACAATCTTTTCCTAGAATACAAAGCATCAGCAGCATGACAAAAGATTTTGACAATTTTATTAACAGAAGCAATATCCCATTTGTGCATTATTAGCATATCTAAATTTATCCTACGTCTATTACAACAAGCAGTAATGTACATATGAAATATTATAAAGTTTAAGCACATATTTTAGATACAGATATCTAAGAAAAATAATGTTTGAAATAATAAAAATATTGGATTAAAATAAATCTATTAATTCTTTAGAAATTGCTTTGTTTATATTTTAGATATGTAACTGAGCAGATATGGAATTTTGAGAAAAATAATCTGAATGAAGAAATGAGTTTTCCTTAAAAGGGAAAATAGAACCTTTCTGGGATGTTCACTCTCTGTAGCTGAGTGTTCTAATGCATGCTGGATCAAAGGATGGTTTCTACCATAAACGGGGACACAGGCCACAGAGTACAATTTCTTTATTAATATTTCTAAAGTGTGCAGACGATAGATGTAATACACACTGTTTAAAATGAAAATGGGGCATCTATTTCAAATATGTGTACCCACTAAAATAAAATAATGTTTGAATATATATATATATATATATATATATATATATATATATATATGTGTGTGTGTGTGTGTCATTTGCAGACAGTACTGTTTCACTGTATCACAGCTCCTCAGTGCAACTAGACATCTGAATGCCTCAAGCCAGGACCAAAACCCAACTGATTTGGTATCAGTTGGAGTTTCTACCTCTAAGCCAACATCAATCAGCAAAGAGAAACAGCTAATTCTAGTGTATTGTTTTTACAAATGTAAACAAATGCCAGTCAGACAGAGTGCTCCAATTCATTTTACTGAAGAGCTTTGCATTAGTGTAGGCAGCTGCTGTTTATAGAATCAGCCTATCTCTCAACAGTGTTCAACTGAAATATATTTTCAAGAGCTTAATTATGTCATGAAGTCTAATATTTATATGCAATAATTGTTATTCTTCTTTGTTGAGTACTTACAATACAATCATAGATTTTATATATTTTTTAATGTCTAGATATTCTTTTTAACTTTAAGAAGTTGAGTAAATAGAAAATTAAAACTGAAAAGAAAGTGCTATACATTTTGTTGCATTATTTCTTTAATGTTTTTGATAGATTAGCTGTTGACATACAGGAAAACATTTGGTATTCATTGACCTAAGAGTGTGACAATTTTTCAGAAAAATAGGTTTCATAAGTGCACTAAATGCTATTGCTTTTTCCAGTATTCATGGGAGTCTCCTTCCTAACCTTTTATTTATGGTAGTGTGGAATATCAACATCTTGATTATGTCATTATTTTCCCTTCTCATTGCATGTGCTATACATTTTAGTTGTTGCTACTGTTGAGAATCTTCAAGTGATGTGGTTTCTGTTATTTGTTACATTTCTTTGTTTATAAATCTCTAGTGCCAGTCCACAAGGTTCAGAAAGGGAAGGACCTAAATTCTTCACTTGCTCCAAGTCATTTTTAACTATTGATCTGAGAAAGCAGTTGTATAACGTAATGTGGTTTTTGTTATTTGGTAAATTTCTTTGTGATTCTGTAGTGCCAGTCTATAGAATCTGATGAAGGATTGTTTTCTTTAAGACCTAGGGGATTCATTTGAATCCATATAAAAGTTTAGATATGATGAGGCTATTTAAGAGCTTGACTCAAGTTCTTAGGTTAATATTTTAGTTTTGCAGCATCTTGCAGTGTTGAACAAAAATATCTCTAGTGCAGTCTATTGTTTGTTCAGTTTCCTTATCTCCTATACTAAATTTTTTATAAATGGTCATACAGCTAGAGTTTATTAATTCCAAATCCTGAATTTTAATGATGGGTTTAGGGTATATAATATCTATATACTTCTAGGCTGTTTTTGCAATAATTCTCTAGGCTATCTGTCCGTCTGTCTGTCTGTCTCTCTCTCTCTATATATATATATATATGAAAAATTTCTCAGAGTTAACCTATAGAAAAAGACAATATGTATAAAGGTAAAGGGCAATAGGAAAATTGTATTATTAGCCCACACATTTCATCCAATGTGGACTTTTTCAAGGCAAAAACGAAATAAATTTATTAAAAACAAAGTAACTATTAACAACAAAACAAAATGTCCTTAGCAACTAGAAGAATTTAGAAAATGCTATTGTATACAACACAACAATAAAAACAATATTTCCACGTGTGATAGTACTTGACATAATTTTCAGTTGACAATATTAATATATCTTATATATATATATATATATATATATATATATATATAGAGAGAGAGAGAGAGAGAATATCATATATTGAGTGCTGGTGCTAATAGAATAGTGCTAGATATATAAGAACATAACTAATAAATATACATTTTTTTCCTCACTGGTAGCACAACACAGTCATCAGGTGCAGCACCTGATGATTGCTTTGAGCTTGAAATTCAGTTATGCTATCAGTGAGGAATATATATATGATACTAGGTCATTTGATTAGATTTTGGAAAGTAATTTGGGTTGTGTATTTTTCAGCACCCTTATATATAAGGACAGTACTTTTCATTAAGTAAATTTAAGGTAGATATACAAAGAAATGGTTTATTTTATGAACTGCTCAAAAGATAAACCAAAATGTAATGACAGGACTAAAGTAAAACCCTCTGAATCTAATAAGCTTGCTGACAATTAACTGATAACCGACATATTTTTTATCTTGACTTATTTCACCTGTTATCATAATTAAGATAACCTCTTAGTGTTAAGCTGAATAGTTGATGTGAATATTCTAGCAATTCTGTCACAGATTATTATTTCTTTGATTTAGTAAGTTTATCATGCTTGTGATTTAGATGTAATAATGAAAATACAATATTAGTGTATTAAAAATTATTGGCAGAATCATAGCATCAAATGCAATATAAACAAGTTGTGCAGTGACTTGCAATCTTGTTATATTAGTATTGATAGAAAAATACAACTTCCTGTTCTATGGTTGATAGCAGCCCTCACTTTATTTGAATCAGGATTAGAAAGAGAATTTGAACAAAGGAGAAAGCTTTCTTATATTAAATTGTCTGGTCACTTTCAACTGTGAGGGTTGCAGTGTGCCAAAGTGATCAGTGCTCAATAAGCAGGAAAAATGCAAATGTTTAGTGGTTGCTTTACATATGCATTACCTAGACAGATCCACATCAGCATCTAATGAGGTGTCCTTAACTGGTTATTTGATTCATGATTTATTCTCTGTTAATGTTACTAAATATGTGTCCTTTGTTCATGCCATGTTGTTAGATATTTATGCTAGATATTTAAGTGAAAAAAAAAAGATAGAAACATTTGTTGTTATTTTAGATGCGATATTATAAGAGATTAAATGAGAATTTGGGGGCAAACAAAGCATTTAAGGTCCAAAATTAGTATCAACTTCCACATGCAAAATTAAAACAAAAAATTACAATATTTAAAAAAACATTTAAAACTTCTACTTAATGATAGAAGTTTGTTATGTAGATGCTATTAATGGGTGCTGAAAAGTTCTCGGCCTAAAGATCAGAAATTCTTTGATGGGTTTCTTGGTTGTGTTGAGAACTTTTCAGCTCCCACTTGTATTTATCATAATTAATAAACTGAAATACAAATCATTAACTATGTGAATACTAGATAATACACAGTAAATAAATAAATATAATATGTGAATTATATTCTTAAATTTTGAAAGCTGCTAATTATTATAATGAATATTTTTTCTCTGCATTGTCTATGCCCCCATAAAAAAAGAAAGATGCTTTTAAGAGTTTTAAATTATGTATTTTAAATTATGTATTTTTAAGGAGTTAATAAAAACTGAAAACACAAAAACACATCTATGTATTAAATATATTGATAAATGTAAATAGAACCAAAAGTCATAAACCAGTTGAAGATGAGTAAAAAAATAATTTGGTCAGTAAAAGGAGTGAGTAGGTGAAAATACCATTCATGTTGTTCACTTGTTTTGCTTGGCTGTTCATTTGAGTTCACGTCCATTAGCCTTTTACAGAAAATTGAAAGCTGTAAGAAATAATGTTTCCTTTTCATGAAATACTGAAAACAAATTATCCAATAACTGACATTCAATTCTCATTTTCCTAAATAATTAAAAAAAAAATTGTCTTTTGGTTTGTTCAAATTATTTTCCTTGCCTTTGTTGTTTTTTAAATCAAATTTTTGGCCCCTATACACTCCTACCATCCTGGAATGCTGTCATTTGGAATTTGTTTACCTTTCCATATGTATGTTCAGTGCTTTTCACTATAGATTTTGGATCTGTTCTGTTGAATCTATGACCTTCCAGGAAATGAGGAAAATTGCACTAGCATTTCCATTTTGGGGTTATGTTTGTGGGGAGCTGCAACTTCATCATTTGTTCTTTTCTTTGCCAATAATTTTCATATTGACATCTATGCTTGGTTTGCTGATCCTATTAACATAGTGTTTCTGCTTTCAAGTTCTTTATTTTGCAATGCTGTTCTCCCTTTTTATTATTTTGACTTCATTCAATATATATTGGTATGTCTACTTCTTTTACATAAGATCAACCATAGCTTATTTTAAAATTTCCCCGATAAATTACCTGGCTGAGGCATTGGATGTGACATATAAAGGAAGTATATGTCTCTTCACAACTCAAAACTGATTTTAAAACTCAGTCAAGTAAGGTCGGATGGAGAGTATAGTGGCTGAAACATTGGTATAAAAAATTTAAAAAAACAGCAAAGACTAAAAAATTTGTCTGAATGAATGCAATGATTACGACACCTCATCTCCAAAAATTAAAACAACAATAACCAAAAAGTAGTTTAGAAAGATTCATCACATTCACTCTGAACATTACTCAGAAAATTTTTTGAACAACTTTTATTTAGGAAATGTACATATTTTTGAGAACATAAGTAAATGTTAAAGTATAAATGTGTAAAAAAAAATTAGAAAAAAAGCGTATCAATCTTAAATAGACAATTATTAACACATATCTTGATTTGTCATGAAGTTAAAAAACTGCTATCATAAATGAGACAAAGATTTGTTTTTGAAAAGAAAGTTTGTATAAGATATTAAATTCTGGAAAACAGGAATGTTTTGTTTCTTTAATCATGTGCTGTCTGCTGGATTTAATCTAAGCCAAAAGTGGACTAATTGAACATTTATCATTAGGTGAAGCAGCATTAATTATTAATTTTTGACTTTTTTATAGATTGACTTTCAAAAACTACTCTTCAGTAAAGATCTTATTATAACAATTAATGATTTTCAGTAAACTTACACATTTTCCTAGCTTACAAGAATAAAAGCCCTATATTCTGTTAATTTTACATATTCAGATACAAATGTGTGATCTACAAGTCATAGAATAGCTTTTTAACTAAATTAATTTTAATTTTCTCTTAATTAAATCTTTGTTTAAAAACTTCTTTTGAATTTAAACCTTATATATAGATACATCAGTAAATTTGTAACCTAATGATGAAAAAATAGTTTATTCTATAAAACAAATATTCTTCAACATAATCTCCTTCATTGTTAATATACTTAATCACATAATGAACATTACTGAATACAAAATTAGATCAAAATTCAACTAATGTCAGACTATAGCCATTGATACACCCTCATAATCTGACTGTAAATGCAAAAAACTTTCTGTCTAAAAATTAATATATATATATATATCAAATGAAAATAAATTGCAAAAATACACGTAGTTATACTTGATTGAAAAACAAAAATGTTAATTTTGTGAATATTTCAATTTATTTACATCTTCAGAAAATTATGACTAAAAAGTGACTATGATTATTTAAAGAAGCACATATATGCAAATTAGTACTGGTATAAAATAAAATGAAATAAAAGAGACAAATACAAAATATAAAAAAAAAACAGGTTAATGATAAAATTAAATGTCATCAATATTACATTTAGAATTTGTTGGCTTGTTTTCTGATTTACAAAAGAGACAGGCCAAGATATGGTTGTTTCTATTGCTCATATTGTTATATTTCAGCTGATACATTCTTCTAATTTCTTCAGGTATATAACATATAAGGGAAGAGAGAATTTGCATCAATGTTTATCCTTTATGCCTACAAAAGAACGGTTTGTCAAAAGGAGGGTTATTTCCTTGATACCATTATTACTGTATAGACTTTTGACTCCCTCATCAATGTTTATTTACAAGATTATAAAAATATGTGAACAAATTACAATGCAATATTTATTATTTACCTTTTATAAAGAAATACATTTGAAAAGAAATTTTTTTTCAAAAATTTATTAAAAGTTACAAAATTTTCAAAATATGAAAAGTGTGAATCAACTACAATGCAATATTTATTATTTACCTTTTATAAAGATTTATTTACCATTTTATAAAGAAATAAATTTGAAAATAAATTTTTTTTTTCAAAAATTTATTAAAAGTTACAAAATTTTCAAAATATGAAAAGTGTAAATCAACTACATTGCAATATTTATTATTTACCATTTTATAAATAATTATAAAAACAGGTTTTTTATTCAATCTAATAAATAAACAAATAGTGTTTAATATTTTTAAAATTCAAACTCAAAATGAAAGAAAAAATATAAATACATTTTCATTTTGTTTTTATTTTTCATTAAAATTTAATCATTAAAAAAAAAAAAACAAAAACATTGTGGCAGGGGGAAATAAAAGTATATACGGTAATAGCAGTGTCAAAGGAATAACCATTCTTTCGAGACACTGGGTTTTTTTGGGGGGCATGAAGGTTAAACATTGGTAAAGTTCTTTCTTCTGATACAAGATGGTTCTAGATAATGGCTGTAGATTGGCTCATACCATTCATGCTAGATACACAGACTATAAAATTTACCATTACCCATATAATTCAAGTGATTCTAATTTGTTGTATCTATACACTGGTATCAGGGAGATTTGTCAAACTGTTGTAAGAACATCAGCCACACAAAGGCATTCACTTGCCCAAATAAAGCTTGGAAATTATAAAAAGAATAACCTTGTTGCCAAAAATTGCTTTAATATTAACATAAGTCCAAAAATGTATTAATATTTTAGAATGTTACTATGCAATAGTCTTGTCCTTCATTTACTTTTCCCCATACTGTATAAATAGGACTAGTGACTATGTTTATTGGTCACACAGCCTGATCTCTTCTTGTCTCCTAATGAGATATTCCATTTTTAGGATAACTATTAAATAAATAAATAATAAATAAACAATAATGATAAAAGCATTACTTGACACCAAGAAGTAAACATGCCTCATATTACCATAACACCAGAATATCTCATAAGTAGTGAATAAGACTGAGTACTAATACATTGCTTTTTTTTCATATTAGCTTTCTTTGTATAAAATTACTTCTAATGATTTAAAAACTTGAATTCTTTCTTACATATGACAACAGAATTAAATGCATAGATAAACCCCTAGATTACTTATACAGAAGTTATAAGTAATGTACTTGCAAAATTAATTAAATATTGTTGTCATTTTTTAACAATATAGATAAACTAGTAATTAACTTTAGTACTCTGTATTATTAATATTACTTCGCTGTCCAATGTATTGTTTTTCAAGGCCTCTCAGTTGCAGTAATCTTATTGTTAATTTCACTCAAAGGTGTTTTCTCTTGTCATAGCAGGATATGGCAACACAACTATGAAATTCAAACAAATTCAAATTCAGGGATCAAAGTCACCTTCAGTGGCAGGATAAGCTTTTTGCACAGTAAATTAAGTTACATAAAGAGTGATAAAGGATAAAAAAAAAAAAAGCATATTTGAGTGTTTGTTCTGATCCAAAGGAATGAATGCTAAATACATCCCCCTCCCTAAATTTATAGACCAATAGTTTGTGTAGATGGATGGCAAAATAGGAGGGATAGTTAAAAGACAAATATTGTTAGTAGCTACAAAGGATAGGAAATTGTGGAGAGCAATGATCACTCTTGATCTGATGGGACAGTGTTTTTTTTTAATTTTTTTTACAGCTTATCAACCTCTTTGTACATTATTTAAAACTGAAACATATTTTGGATTGTAGTTTACAGTATCCAGCATTCCCAAGCAGCTCTCCATCTAGGTACTGACTAGGCTCGACACTGCTTAACTTTGGTGATTGAATGAGAACCAGTGTTTTCAGCATGATTTGACCTATAGGCAAAGGGTCACAGCACCAAGAAGTAATTGTACACCCCAGAAATGTTGTAGAATGGATCAACTACAACAGTGTGGTAACAACAAAAAGAATGATTTTACCAACTTTAAAAATTACAGGAGGTAAGTTTACAGGAAGAAAAAAAAACTTTATTCTAAAAAAAATTGACCATCTTATTTCAATACAGTATTTTTAAAACTATTAACAATCTTTTAAAGATAGTAAAAATCTGAAAATAAATCACCATACAGAAAGATTTCCATATAAACAATAAATACAAGTTAAAAGTGTAATGATTTCTAGCAGAAATATTCTAATTATTTACAGAGAAGAAACAATTTTTATCATATTTATGTTTCAATAATTAAAAACTGGCTTTTAACTTTTCAGACAATTTTAAAAAAATTGTTTTCTAAGTTTTAAATGATGTATCATTTTTTCATATTTGATTTTACTATCTGTCTGTATTTCTGAGATGATTTATTGTAACTATTTAATAGAACAAATTATTCAGATTGTTGTCATCATCAAATTTGTCATATTCAAATTTTTGTTGTTTTATAATATGTTTTCTTATTTTTATAGGAATTTGGAATTTCAAACTGAACCTTTTATTTAGTTCATCAAATTCCAATGTCTATTACCTGAAGAGGGCCGGAGTGTACAAAGGCAAAAACATTGTTAATATGACAAGAAAGATGAAGAAAACAGTCCGAACAATGTAAACTGTGTAAATTGATTTTACTAGTTTTAAAAAAAGATCACAATTGTGACTTGAAATGCAAAAAAATTCAAATTCTGATTTAAACAAGAAAAAAAATATTATCAATTAAATCTTAAAAAATCATAAAGAAAAATACAAAAAAAAAAAAAATTTAAAAACATGGATAATTACATATTTTAACTACCTTCACTTTTGGCAATGTTTTTTATTTTTAAAAAGTGATGATTAGAATTTTAATAAAACCTAAACATATGATGAAAGTGAATTTATACATTTTTTTTGTTCTTGAGAATTTACAACAAAAAATAATAAAACTATTTATTTATTAGATTGTTTATTTATTTATTTATTATATTATTTATTGAATGGTTGGCAAAACATTGGCTAATTGCCAATTGATTCAAACTTTATAAAATGGTAAATAATAAGGATTTCATTTTATAGTTGGTTCATATATTTTAATAATTTAGTAAATGTTTATAAATTTATGCATAAATAATTTTCACATTTACTTCTTTATAAATTGGTAAATGATAAATATTGCATTGCATTAGTTCTAATTGTATTAGTTTTTAGAATGGTGTACATATAAAATTATTCTTGTAAATAAACAATCTCATAAATAAGTAGTATTTAATACTTTTGTTTTAAATTCTCAAAAACAAAAAAAAAATGTATAAATTCACTTTCATATATTTAGGTTTTATTACAATTCTAATCATCACTTTTTAAAACAATAAACATTGCCGAAGAATGAAGGTAAAAAAAAAAAGCAGTGTCAAAAAAAAAACCATTTTTTTGACACTATATATATATTAATTAAAAGTTTTCCTAATTAAATAATGTCTTAGTTTTATTTCATTTTTATTTTATAATTCAGAACAGATTATATGTAACTGGGGGTCCTGTTTGACAAAAATATTTCATGATTTAAATTCTCTGAGTACTTCACCTTATAACTAATATGAACATTAAGTGCTACAAAAAAGAATTTCTTAAAATTTTATGTTTCTTTTTTTTGGAAATTTTTTAACCCCCACTTATTTAAAGTGGGGGTTAAAAAAATTTCCAAAAAAAGAAATATTTCAAAAATAATTTCATTCATTCATGAATAAGTCCTGAATATTTCATTAAAATCTGACAATTATCTGATTTTCGCAAGAAATTCTATATCAGTGTTTTACACCCCAAAAATAAGCTAAAATTTCACATACTTTGATGGAAAAAAAATTTTGATGATAAAACTTATTTTTATTAAGTTTGGGGCATTTTTTCCTCATGTATGGTCATTTTTTAGTGAATCTTTTGAGGTACATCATTTAAAGGCACCAAAATTGAAATAAATTTTATTGATCCTAGGTAACTGTCTTTTGATGAGTAGGCTCTCACACACATACATACATACATACATACATACATACAAACATATATAAACAAACACACTTGAAAAATTTCAGTGATATATTTTAATATCTACAAGACTATTTTAGGAAAGAAACAAAACATCATATTTAAACATGTTTACTGCAGGAGTCCTTTAATTACCATGTGCATCCCCATATATATATATATATATATATATATATATGAAAAAGAGAGAGAAGTGTGTGCGTGTTTGTCTGTGTGTGCATGTATGTTATAGTAAAACAAGGAATTTCAAGAAATTCCATGCAGGAGTTTGTTCCACAGAGTAGCAGTTCTCAGAGGAAAAGCCCCTTGAGTGGAACTTACTTCATACAAATGGAATATGGAGGAAATGTGGATGATTAGATTCTGTGAATGTAGAATGGTGAGTCCTAGCTGTAAAGGTCTGAACTGGGGGAATTAAAGAGAGAAGATCATCTGAGCATTTGCCATGGAAATAGTGACAGAATAGCTTATAATGTTGTATCTGTGGGAATGACTCAATAGAATGGAAAATAAGTCATCTCCTACAAGACCACATAAACAATTTTAAAGCACCTTTATTGATGGATCACATACATGTGTTCCCATTGAGTTCCAATAGATGTTTAAAGTGTTTTGAGAGTTCAAACATTCATTATGACAGGAGAAAGCTTGTTATTAGCTTGGTTTTAGAGATATTGAAAGTTTTTCACCATTGAACTGTTTGAGCTAGGTCAGTGAAGAGATCAAAACATTTTTGGAAGTGTTTTGAGCAAACTGTGGTATATAGGAAAATAGAAAACATATTGCGCATAGGAATTATCAGAGGCATAAAGTTATTTAGTTTATAAAAGTTTTTTTTTTTTTTTACAAGTTGGTTAAGATTGAAAATACATTAGAAAATCATCTTCATATTTCCTTCTTTATCTATATTTCAGCTAGCCCCTGATAACTCCTATCCATTTTAATTGAGAGACAGCAACTTTGTAGGGATTACCCCCACTTGGTCTACCAAGATGCCATTATGTGGCACTGTTTATGTATTATAAAATGTATATCTCTATTTTTCTTGTGACCATTAATGTTTGTCAGTGAGGGTCATACTCATTTAATAATTCAACAGCTATCATTATCAACCTATTTACTTAGTGTATATGAAAGTCTCCGTTCTTTTTCTTGAAGACTGTAGATAGAAATTATCTCAGGTAGAAGCTAAGGTTATGAAAGCCAATTTATGACATAAGCAGTTCATCTCCACATTGAATAGTCATGTTGCAGCTAATAAACTTTTTATATTTAAAATAGACAGTAGTGGCGTTATCAGAGGAGGCATGGTGGAGTAATAGATAGTGGCTCAGATTGAGGAATCAGAGAACTGAGTTCGAATTCCAGTTCAATTCATTACATTCAATTCATTACATGTGCTAATACCCTTGGGAAAAGTAAGAATCCTCTCTAGAACAGGAAGGTCTAAAGATGAAGGGGGGATTAAAATTTAACAGAGAAGTTTTAAAGACCTTCCTGTTCTTCTCTCGTCTGTTACCCCTCCCTATAGCTTTCATTTACTCTAACATTTGTTCCACACTATCATACATACACTCTCACTAAATTTTATTTTTTATTGATGAGTTGTTTTTCTGTTTTTTTTTGAATTTGTAGGTCTGATGATTTGATTTATTTACAATTCCAATGGAATAAATTATGACCATGGAATATTAGTGTTTAAGCCTTTTATTATGTCCTTTCTCTGTCCTGGACATTGAGTTCTACCTTCCACATCCTCTTGGAATTATTTTTATACAAATATATATGAATATGTATGTATGTATGTGTATATATATATATATTTTAAATATATGATTGCATATGTATGTGTATATTTATCACTAAATTATTTCATATATATATATATATATATATATATATATATATATATATAAATAAAATTAAAAGAAAGAACAGTAAGATATAAAACAGGTGTTCTTATAGATATTTTATTTTTACAAAATAGTGCTCAATGTAAATTTACATAGCATTAATATTATAAATTAATTGATATCATCATATTTTAAATCAATTAATTTATAAATATATATATATATATATATATATATATATATATATTATTTGTTAGTTACCCAGATCTAAATACACTTGAGGGAGGTTGGAGGCACAATGGTTTGAAATAAATAAAAGCAACAAATGGGGACAATATTCCATTTATAATATATATATATATATATATATATATATATATATATATATATATATATATATATACAAGTGGGAAATCAAAACTTACAAAATTATTGTGACCTTTGAAAATTGCTTAATTATTATTATTATTATAAGTTTTAATACAAAAGTATTAATATAAAAATTATAGATATTATCAAAATGAATAATTTATTCACTGTTGCTTCCATTATTTTCTGTTATAGCTTAAAATGTTCCAAAAGAATCTCTTCAACTTTTAACCACAATCCCCTTGCACATCTTGATCTTGACCCACTACCTCTTAATGACAGTTTTGATAGTATTGATGTTGGGGTGCAAAATCTTGTTGGTATCCTATTCAAAAATTCCCTACACAGCATATTCTATCAGGCTCAAGTCCAAGCTGGAAAAGGGCTGGAAGTCTGCTAGCCAGAAATCATCACAGCATTGTAGAAATTCTGCATCTTCTTGCTGTGAGACTAGAAGCACAGTCCTTAACCCTTTGAGCCTTGACCACCGCTTTACCACTGGTTGAATGGTGGGTAAACACTTGCATTGTGTTTTGCTATTGTATTGTCCCAAGCAACTTTCCCCCTGCAAGCCAAGTCCCTCAGCTTTAGAAAGTTCCTAGATCAATACTGTGTTGATCTGGTGGGTGCATTCTGGCCAT